AGATCTTTGGATGTGTCTTGTGTTAACATCCTGGAAATGTATTTATTCAACTTCTGTGAGGTTAGACAGTTGAAAATGGGTGATATGTGACATCCAGCATTTTTTATTATTAAAACTTGTATTAGAATATCACATAGTGGCAGAAACCCATTTAAGTTTTACTCTATCATTAATAAATTGCCCCAGACTGGAAGAGCCTCTAACCATCTGATAATCAGTAATATCACATTCTCTCATCTGATCTTCTAATGACTTGTCTCCTGTTAATCTTCAACAGACTGGATGAAGGGAACCTTCCAGAGGACATGGACCTGATGGAGGACTACCTGCAGCTGGTCAACCACGAATTCAAGCTCTGGCAGAAGGAGAAGGAGTCGTCTGCAGAGCCTTGGCCCCAGGGCCCCCCTCGCTTCTCCATCTCCCAGCTCTCCCTCATGCAGTCCCGTTGCGCCACCCACAGGTGTCCCTTCTACGCATCGGTGGGCACCCAGCCCTATTGTCACGAGTGCTTTGAGAGGCATCGGGGTCGAGGGGGGCCCGATGCCACCACCTCGGGGGACCAGACGGGGCCTGCAGCAAAGGTAACAACTGCCCTGGCGGCCCCTGTGCTTCTGCAGAGCCCGCGATCGGCACCCCCCACCGCCCCAAGCCTTGTACTGTACAGCGAGACCAATGCCATGAAGTGCAAAACGCCAGGCTGCCTCTTCACCCTAAACATGGAGCACAGTGGACTCTGCGAGCGCTGCTTTCATGCCCAGCAGAGCAGCCCGCCCAGGGAGGTGGTAGGCGGGGCAGGGGACAGAGCGACACGGGAGGTGGAGCGGTGCAGCCTTTGTCGGCAGGAGGCCTTTAGGATATTCAACGGACTGTGCCCCCCTTGCATCAGGAGTAGTGCGAATGGTAGCGGGGACCAGCAGCAGCAGTTGTCCTGGACTGACCTCTCTTCCTGGGTCCGGTCAGCACCGAATGGCCCAGAGGCCTCCAGCACATCTGGACCCTACAGGCACACAGAGTCAGGCAGGCCCTGTAAGAGGGCTGGATGCACATATTACGGAACGCCAGAGAAGGCAGGCTTCTGCACAGTGTGTTTCGTGGACTATGAAACCAATCATCGTAAGTGCAACCACTTGGTGATATTTGTTAATACTGTAGGACAAGCTTGTCAAAGGGAGGCCAAATCTAGGAAACTGTTTATGTGTGTATGTAAGTGTGTGTGTTTTCCCTAACACCTACTGATGGATTTATTGTGTAAAGACAGTGTAACACGAAATTTCTGCTCAAATCAACCAACACTTATAAGGGGAAGAATGTGGCTGATGAAATCAGTGTGCCCAAAGGGTGCGAGAAGGTTCTGTGTGACCTGAGGTATTTGTTAGGCTTAGAATTCACACAGGTCAGTGAGAAGTGGGAGCATGCTGCATCAGGTGGGGATTCCCGGTAAGCGGCTGCATTACCTGATTGGTAGGTGGTGACACAAGTTCCTCTTGACTCTTTCAGGGCAGGACCCTGTGGGGGCAGTCCACAGGGGGTCTTCCTCCCCAGGCCACACCTTCCAGAGCTCCTCCCGTGGTCTGTGCAGCTCCCAGTCCTCACCACTGATCATGGTGAGTTTCCCTATGTGGGTAGAATGTGATGATGGGTTGCATTTTCAGCTACCGCTGTACATTCCCAGCACCATTTCTCTGACTTTGCACTAACGTTGGTGACGTTGCCACAGCATCATAGAAATGTATCAGTGAGGATCCTAATATAGCACTTAGTGTTGCCATGCTTTTACATGGTTGGTCTAAGACCACATTTTACAAACCAATACTAGTTATACAGCTCTTCCAAAAGATACCTTCAGTAGCATGTTTCTTTGAAATTTTATCAGTGGGTGCCCCTATTATTACCATTCAACATTAAGTGAATTTTTGAGTTACTTGAAAAATGCAGCTAATGTTTTAGAATGAGTCCATGGAATATGTTGGATCTACAGAGTTCACACGAAATATAAATTCTGATTGATAAAATGCTTGGACCCACCCACTCATAACTTTCACAGCTTTTAAGCATGTTCTGTTCTTATGGCAAGGCTAAATGTATAGTATGCACAATCAAACATAATGAACTGCAGATTGTGATGTCACAAAGGATCCTTCATGCCTCCATTACAGAGAGCTGCGCAATTGAGGTCAAATGGGATACAGTGCAGCCGCATCAACTGCAGCAACTTCTCTGCTGACAGGGCGGAGCTATGCGTGGAGTGCCACACCCAGAGCCAGAGAGAGGCACGCAGGAGACCAGTATCTGAGGAGATGCCTAAACATCGCTGCAGGACCCCAGGCTGTGACCACTATGCAAACCAGCAGAAGCAAGGCTACTGTAATGAGTGTGACCTCTTTAAACAAATCTATAGCGGGTAAACCAATGGACCAGCTGACAAGGTTGGTCCGTACCAGTCTTTCAGTCAGAATCTGATACCAGTGCACTTGCAACCAAAACTAGTATCTAAAGTGATAAGCTTGAACATATTGTTTCATCCAAGTTTTTATAAAGGATTATAAAATAAGGATAAGCGTAACTGACCCAGGACCTCAGTTGTTAATCAGATGTTAAAGGCTTCGTAGCCACAGTCATTAAGTTGTCCAGTTTGTGTGAAATAAGTTTGCCTGTACTCCTGGTTACAGAAATATGGTGCTAAAGGTACATAACACTCACATTTTAAAAGACATTTTAACTTCATGTTTATGGGTTACACATCGTTATGTCCTTTCCCCTCTGTTTTAAGTGCTTGTTTGAAATTCCACAAGCCTGTTCAACCACTGCTCACTTTTGTGAAGTGTGATTAGCTTCATCTTTGTTACGTTAAAGGTCTTCAAAGTCTGGTGTCTAAGCTCAATTTTGGCCAGTCCTGGCTATACATTCACTGTCAGCAGGGATTTGTAGAGATACTTTTCTTATATTTGGAGCCATAGGTGATTCAAGGCCCAATCCAATAACCACTTTCATAACCAAGAAGTTTCTTTGTTGCTGAGTTTGAAATGAAAACAATCATTTGGCTGTTTAACACAGTGCAAATAAACCACGATCACAACATTGGTCCAGAATAGCAGCCTGAGGACACTCCCAAATAGGACTTGGTAGCCATGGCTACTCCTCTCTCCCCTGAAAAAACACTTAAAAGCCCTGTTCAGATATGCCACTGGTGAGCACAATTTTTATGCATACACTATACTTTATTATAATGAAATCTTAACAAAACTTGAGGGGAAAAACAGAGTTGGTCGAGAAGGAAACGAAAACCATAAAAGCATGAAAAATCCCCACAGTAGTCGAAACACCAGTGTTCACCTGAGAGCAACGTGATCTGATGGTGAACCTCGGAGAAAACAGCCTGTTCCTCTGTGTGCAGTTCTGCAAAAGCTTTTGGCACCTCTTCCTCCTTGGGTCTACCCACAAACTATTTTTATGAGTTTCCTTTTCTGTCATTTCCCTCCATTTTATAGACTACACCCAAGACCTCTGCTGTTTATTGTCTATGTTGCATATGCACAAACTGACATTTTGCATTAAGATATACACAATTTGTGATTACTCTTTACCTGACAATAGCATAACCTGAAAAAATGATGTAACAGATATACCTTTGTATTAGATACATAAGGAAGAAAAAAGAAACAGCACTTTGGTACAGTCAAAGTGAGTACAATGTACAAGAGACATTTGACAGCTCCTGTTAGACTTTTCTATTTATGAGTTTGAACTTCAAGCATGCATACTTGCACCATAGTTTATAAGTATGTTCCGGATTATGGTATGGTACTTTATTTCACTTCAGCTGTGATATATCTGAGTTAGAGGATCACATAACCTTGATACAACAGAAATTGTTAGATTTAAGTATTGTCTTGCAAAATGTTATATTGGTCAATATGTGATACATATGATGTATGTATGGCTATTTTGCAGAATTGTGTTGTACTGGAAGCTATGATTTGTGGAATATTTATTCATTTTGTCAAAATATCATTGACATGTCAATAAAGAATTATTTATATATGTATCAAAATAAATTATTTTAATAATACATATGTTATTGTCTGTTTGGTTGGATCCTTAAAACTGTCAGTTTTCTGCACAATGTCACACAATGTCAACTTGTGTGGACCTTAGAATATCAAGTCCTTCTGTACCTTGAGATCATCTTTTGCTGTCTGCCAACTCCCTATACCTAGATCTCAAGCTTTGCTTTTTAGCTTTTTAGTGGTGCAGTGAAATATTGTGTATTGTAAAGCTTTTTGTTTGATTTTTTCAGGCTTACATAAACTATCCAAAAAAGGGGATTGTGAAATTGAAATGCAGTTTGCTTTATAGAAGACAATAGTAACAATTTTTTAAAGGAACTTTAAGATTAACTAAAGCCAAACTAATGCAGAATATTTAGAAGTAAAGGAGGGCAAGGGACTTTCATCTGTTGTATTTATGAAAAATATATAGTGTCAATGTCAGGTATAGGAATAATTAAGGTTCCTAGCTAGAAATTTGCACATATTAATACTGGAGCATTGAGTGTTAAAAGAGGTGGAGATGTAGGTGGTGTGCATAGATTTTTAAACAAGGGGGAGTTTCAGGCAGGTTTAATTATTTGCATGTCTGATTACTCCTCCCCATGTTTTTGTGCCCATTTAATATGACCATCACTTGTAAGTGTGTGATGTCTACATTCACCGTTCCTGTGTTAGACACATCTTAACTTCTGGACTGTGACACTATTATTTAGGAATGGCAACAACATTAATGACAGATTTCTTGAGAAACATTTGTACCAAGTGGCTAAAAATAACCTTGTTTGTCCAATAGTGAATCCAGGCCAAGGCCAATAAGGCACTCTTCAGTGTGGAACAATAATAATAAAAAATATCTTTATTTCAGTCTTGACTCTGCTCTGTATGGGTAATAGCTTGTCTATAAAAACATTTAAGTATTTTAAATTAGTAATGTCTGATATTAAATAGAAAGTGGAAATAGCTCAGTTGGGAGAGTGTTAGATCTAATGGTCCCTGCTTCGATCTCGGGTTTCAGCATAGATTCGCATCTTTGCATTAGCCAGCAAGGCTTGAGCCTTTAGGTCAGTAGTGTAACCTTAGTGGTTAAGGAGCAGGACTTGTAACCGAAAGGTTGACGGTTGGATTCCCTGCTGTGCTAGTATAATGAAAGAATATTTTGTAGATTGGTTGGCATGTTAGCTAGCTATCTTGTTTTTTAGTCTGAACCTACTCAACATGTATTTTTTTCAATAAAATACATGTCCAAGACCACCATGCTGATCAACCCCTCACACCCCACTCAAAAAGTCTCATTTCTGATGTCAAAAGTTGGGGATTTTTTATGCATTATATTGTTGGCAGTGCTGCTCGGCTCTAACCCACAGTCATATGGCTATATTTGTCAGACAGTCCCAAATTACAGAGCTGGCAGACCCCCCCCCAAACTCCCTCTATATGAGAAAGCTGATTCACTGTGGCAAGGGAAAGTCTTTCTCAGAAGGGGATATTTGCAGTGGGGAAGCAGTGACATTTCTGCAGTGTGGGGGAAGGACAGTAGTTTGCGTGGGTAGTCAGCCATGGGCCCCGGAAAAAAAGGCATTTTTGCCTCAGGGTGTCTGAGAAGTGAAATGGGAACACCCCCCTGAAGTGGTTGCCCAGTTAAGGCAGGTGACTACCCTGGGAATTTGAACATGTTTGTCAGACTTTAGGTGCAGCCTGGAGGTCAACCACCCACTTTGTTGTCCATGTCACCCTAAATCATCTGTTACTGGAGAATAGAGGCCAAATTTTAACTACTGACTTTAGTTATCAGCTGGTTACATGTTTAAGTAAACTGGGGTAATTAACATCTGAATGGTATTCAGGCATTGTGAGTCAGGGGCATTTCTAGCTATTGAAAAGATCAGGGGCTAAGTCAAGTTTGCCTGGGGCTTGTCTTTTTTTTTGAAGGGAGATCGGTATCGGTAGGTTGGGGAGGTTATATGTACCTTTATAATAAATAAATATTATCACACACACACATTCAAAGGTTATTACGGTACTTATCTTTACACAGTCTGTCTGTTGTTTTGCTATAAACACCTCCTTTTTCAGGGCAAAAATATTCGGGGCTAGGCTTAAAATATTCAGGCTATAGCCCTGAATGTTCAGACCTAATGACGCCACTGTTGTGAGTGAAATGCTCTGCTTAGAGGGGAATTTAGTGAAATTAGAAAATGGTTTGGCCTTACCTTTCTGTGGTAGTTTGGAAGGCAAGTTTATTTTTTGTAATAAAGTATATGACAATTGAATAGATTCCCATTCTGGTCTAAGCTGAAATAATGTTGATGTTGATTTTTGATGTGTATAGGGACAAGTAACATGTACTCAGAGACCATTTAATCACAATGTTTGAATCCCATCAAAATCATCCTAGTTCTTCTGGCAGCTGGGACTGCTCATTTGTCAGTGGTTGGCAGGTGACCCTACATAACCAGAAACCAGTGATTTATGTTGAAATGGACATTATGGATGATATGGATATTATGCCAATTCTAGCTGTAGGACCAGGGTTGATTTCAGGAAGAAGGTGGGTGTCACCACAAGTAACACCTGTCATCTTCAAACATGAGGAACTATTGGACAAATAAAAGGCATATTGAGTTGCAATAGTTTAGTAATCATGTCACTTGTGAAAGAAACTTGATTTCACAGCAATTCTGCTGCATATAATATTTCAGCAGAATTGTGAGTTAGAATTGTGAGTTAGGAGTCACAGTGTGTCCTAATTTTCATGATGTGGGACCAACATTGCAGCAATGTCGTGACAGTGTTATGCCAGTGGAGATCCTACCTTAAGCCATGTGATTGATGTGACTGAGCTGTTCCATCCCCATAACATTCTCATAATATAAGGATATGTTTTTTAAGTACAGACCACACATTGGTTCCCTTTCAGGAAAGAAAAACAATTGAAAAATAAAACGTTTCAGCAAATATTTCTTTTTTTTTCACTTTTAACTAAATTGCACACTGTATAAGGAAATAATAAAAAGGTTTTCCAGAAAAAAATCCCATCTTTCATGAAAGAGGAAGGTGGTTATGATACCATTTTTACAGCAATAATAAGTTCCTGTTCAGGAGTTTTATTGGACAGGTAAATATACATGTCCCTTTCACTTTTTCATTGATTAAAGCAAACATACTTCAATGGACAATGGCAGTGAGGAAAAAAATGTGAATTCTAGATTTTAAAGAGCACAGTATTATCATGAACCAATAAATTTTAATCAAGTGAAAAAGCAGTATACCTCAATCATTCAATTTGTTAAGCAGACACTATTATGCAGATCAACATAGTTTAGAAATAAGTTAGGCAGCTGGATATTTACTGAGGCAAGACATGTCCTTACTCAAGGGTAAGTGGTACACCTCTAAATGGAACCAGGAAGTTTTGGCTCAGAGGACCTCCATGTTCACACTAAAAACAAGTAATTATATACAACATATACAACATACAATGAGACATACATGTACAATGTAATTTTTTTGCCCACCCAACAAAAAAGCAGGACTGTTATGTCTTTCACCAAGAAATAAACAGTTCATTCCTTTCACATAACAAGTATTTGATTCAGAACATGTCTTTCCTGAAATGACAATCAGGATGTTCCTTTACTGTGAACCTGAGCTGTTTGTCCTGCTCTGAGAATGGGACACTTCCAGTTATGAGCTGTCAGGAGACAGGGGAATGTTGGAACATTCCAGAAGAGTTTCAAGAGCAGCAGCACTGGAAAACACCCCAGCTCTAGAATTCACTGGACTGTGCTTCACCAAAAACACATTGACATCAAAAAAAAACCCTAGCAAAAATTTGTCTAAATTGCCACGGGACACTTCTTAATGTTGAATTTCAGAAATGGTTTATGAGGAAAATGAGGGCAGTTTCTTTAAGTAAGCAGTAGTCTCATTCCCCCCTTTTTTGATTCTTATCAAAAGGTGACCTTTTCGTGCAGCAAGACTGAAAGCCGATCACGTGTACATCTCACCAGCCCCAAACAAAAGAGAGCCTTAATATATAATTTGTGTATTGGTATTCAAATATATGCATATTCTGGTGCTCAGAACTGTGCATTGACTCATTCTCGAGAATTCGCCTGCTGGACAGATCCCGTAAATCTGAACCTTTTCTTACCCGAACACACAGTAAATTTTGACTTGAGGGGTTGTCCCTCATAAATAACAATGAAAGACATTGTTGGAGGCGATACAATTGAAACCTAGTGGCACTCACCTCGTCAGCTCTGGTTGTGTATCAAGCAGCCCTGAGACTCAGTATATTACTTTTAGAGTCTCAGTCAAAGGGCAGGGTGAATGTTGGCTAGCAGAGTGGTGTGACAGGCTCTAGGCATCAATGGGATTCACAGTCAGTCCTTCCTATCAAAAGGAAGAAAGTTGTTCTGTATCTATGACTTGTGGCCCAATGCAGTAATATTGTCAGAAGGTGATATCTCTGATCATACCACATGTAAATTGGAATGGATTTAAGTGAAAGTGAAAGCTTCAGTCTTTTAGAGTAGATGTTATACCAAAGATCAGTCACTGTGGTCAAAGAAGACACTTATTGTAAAGAGTTGGGGGGTTCTCTGGTGTCCTGGCCAAACTTTAGATCTCCCAAACTGACCATTTAATTGTCCCTCACTTTAATTAGCTATGACGAATAATGAGCCTCCTAGTGCAAAATGGCTGCTATGCATCACCCAGACATGGTGGAAGTGAGTCACTGCCCTTTATTGAGATCAATAAAAGGTATTATATAAATACAATTCAGCTAACAGCTAAGTCACAAGATCCAGCTTGGATGGAGTGCACCCATTTACACTAACACATTATATATATATATATATATACATACATTGTAGTGAGGAGTTATACAGTATACTGTATATATACATAGTGAGTGAGCTACACTATATGGCCAAAAGTATGTGGACACCCCTCCTAATTATTGAGTTCAGGTGTTTCAGCCACACCGATTGTTAACAGGTGCATAAAATCAAGCACATGGCCATGCAATCTCCATTGACAAACCTTGGAAACAGAATGGGTCGTACTGGAGAGCTCAGTGACTTTAAACGTGGCACTGTCATAGGATGCCATCTTTGCCACAAGTCAGTTCGCGAAATTTCTGCCCTGCTAGATCTGCCCCGGTCAACTGTAAGTGCTATTATTGTCAAGTGGAAGCATCTAGGAGCAACAACAGCTCAGCCACGAAGCGGTAGACCACGCAAACTCACAGAGCAGGGCCGCTGAGCGGTGAAGCGCCTAGCACATAAAAACCGCCTATCCTCTGTTGAATCACTCACTACAGAGTTCCAAACTGTCTCTGGCTGCAACATCAGCACAAGAACTGTGCGTCAGGAGCTTCATGAAATGGGTTTCCATGGCCGAGCAGATGCACACAAGCCCAACATCACTATGCGCAATGCCAAGCAATGGCTGGAGTGGGGCAAACCACGCCGCCACTGGACTCTGGAGCAGTGAAATGCATTCTCTGGAGTGATGAATCACGCTTCACTATCTGGCAGTCTGATGGACAAATCTGGGTTTGGCGGATGCCAGGAGGGCACTACCTACCGGAATGCACAGTGCCTACTGTAAAGCTAGGTGGAGGAGGGAAAATGGTCTAGGGCTGTTTTTCAGGGTTTGGGCTAGGCCCCTTAGTTCCAGTGAAGGGTAACATTATTGCTACAGCATACAAAGACATTTTAGACAATTGTATGCTTCCAACTTTGTGGCAACAGTTTGGGGAAAGCCCTCTCCTGTTCCAGCATGACTGTGCCCCTGTGCACAAAGCAACGTCCATAAAGACATGGTTTAATGAGTTTGGTGTGGAGGAACTCCAGTGGCCTGCAGAGAGCCCTGACCTCAACCCCATTGAACACCTCTGGGATGAATTATTGCGGGCCAGGCCTTCTCATCCAACATCAGTGCCTGACCTCACAAATGCTCTTTTGGCTGAATGGGCACAAATTCCCACAGACACACTCCAAAATCTT